TGGGCCCTGCCCTCCTGTGCCCTCCTGGACACCAGGCTTGGGCCCTGTGGGCCCTCTCAGGGCTCTGCCTAGGAGCAGAGGAAAGGCAGAGGAGGGAGATCGGACAGAATCTGAGTGGCTTGGCTAGGCTGACCGTCTCTGTGGAGGCTGGGCTTGAGTCCCAGAGCTCACAGCACAGCATGAGGGGCACGGACCTCCAGGCTGTATCCGAGAGCAGTGCACTTCTTGAGGTGGGGACTGCTTCGGAGCAGGCAACTCGAGGTCTGGGGAGGATCGGGAACTCCTCAGGACAAGCTCCTTTGCCTAGGACCAGGTCTGTCTCCCCAGAACCGATCCCGGAAGGGCAGCCTCTTGAAATCCACCGGGACCCGTGTCGCCCTAACAGCTCACCACTGGCCCGGAGGCACCAGCCCTTCAAACAATGTCAGCACCTTCATAGAGCCCCGTGTTGCCAAACGTGTATTCTCTGGGAAAACGTGTGACAGGACATTTACATGCGGTCACTTTCTTGGACACTTTCTTCAGGTTTAGAAGTATCTTCCGTTCATCATACCGGGGCCCACCTTCCTACCGGTCTTTTCATCTAACCAGGTAACAAGTCTATTTTAAATCTATCATGGGGCCAGCAGGTGGCACAGAGGTTAAGGTGGCTGGATCACACATGGCCAACTATTCGAGTCCCACACTCAGTGGCTTGGAAAACACACTGGGCATATGCATGTGCATGCCCCCAAATCTCAAGAGGAGAACAGAAGGAATTGCGGTGTGGCCATTCCCCTCAAGGAACAATTTCTCACTTTCCCTCTCTCTTTATCTTCCTCTCTCTGTCTCTCTCCTGTGAGCGCATATGCCCTATGGCAAAAACTAAAAATATTAATAATAATAATAATTATAAAACATGAGCCTTCTGCCTGGCCTCCACACCCTGAGGTTATTTAACCATGATGGAATGCTCCATCGAGAGGATCCACAGCCGGCTTCTACCCTAAGAATGGCTCACTTCCCAAGTCCTCCACTGTAAATAACGCAGCCGAACATCTCTGAGTGTAAAGCTTTGTTTCCAGATTTCGAATTGACCCTTCAGAGACACTGAAATATGCAATTACTAGATGATAAAGCTCCCAGAGCCAGTAGCTTTCTGATACTTTGGACGCTGCTCTCAGACCCCTTCCTGCTCTTGCCTACGATATACAGAAATACCACATTCATGACACGCACAGCTTTTGTTTAAAAAAAGAAGGATAATTTGGATGACAAGGAATAATAATTCATGATTTATTTAGTTATTTGTGAAAATGATATACAAAGTTAGAAAAGTCAAAAGAAGTATAGGGGCAAGCAGGTGGCATGGTGATTAACGCACTGGACTCCCACATTACCCAATGCAGTTCAAGTCCTGCACCTGGCAGCTTGCTTTCTCACTTTCTCTCCCTGTCCCTCCCTGTCTCTCTCTGGTGAGCACACGTGTCCTGTAGCAAATTAAAAAAATAGTAATGATAAAGAAAATAATTCTTGGGACCAGAAGTTAGCATAATGGCTATGTCGCTGAATTCCCATATAGTCGACCGCGGTTCAAGTCCCAGACCCGGTGGCTTAAACTCATGCCGGGCGCATGTACATATGTGCCCAAGATCCCGAGAGGAGAATGGAGGAGAAGGGATTGTGGCATGGCCATCCCCCCTGGGGGATGATTTGTCGCTTTCTATCTGTCTGTCTCTCTCTGTTTTTCTGGCGAGAGTATGCGCCCTATAGCAAAAACCTCTCAAAAAAAAAAATTCTTAAAGAGAAAAAGCAGCATAAAGCTTATAATGGAAAATAGCACACATGTATGCACACAGCCGAGTCTTCTAGATAGTTCTTCTGCTGTAGTGGAAGAGCTGGGAGAGGCCGGGAGGGGTAGGGAAGGCTGTTTTGCATGATAGGCCTCATGCTTATGATAGATATGCTTATGCTTATCTGACTTTTCTAATTACCTCCACGTTTTGAAATAGCACCCTGATACGCTGTCCCTTCTCATTGCAGAAGTTATCTATTGACTTTGAAACAAGGGGTTTGTTCCCTTAAACAACATCCATGTTTATATTATATTCATGCAAATAATGTTCATGGCCAAACCACGCAGCTTAACCCAACGGAGTTTTGTTCTCTCTGGAGTTAATAATCACTTACAATAGCATTTGTTTGTTTCCTACCTATCCTGAGTGGTCCCCACGCTCCCTGCCTCCTCCTCAACATCTTCATCACCATCACTGCTAGGCCTGAGGAGGTGCATGCTGGGTGCTTCTCATTGAGTGTAGAAAACTCCATCTTCACAGAAATCCTGTCAGGCTGTTAGCCCCAGCACCCTACGCCCCCTTCTGCCACAGCATGCATGCATTTATCACAGACAGGGAGGGGAAAGCACCCTCTAATGGGGCATGATCACGCTGAAATTCCCTCTCCGTTTCTCCATCCTCTCAGGAGTTGAGGCTTGCATGTACACACACGCACACACACACACATACACATATGCCCAGAGTGTTTTTGAGGTTGCTGGGGCCAGGATTCAAACCGCAGTGGACCATATGGGATTCAGCTCTGTTACCACTAGGTAACAGGCCATGGGGCTGTCCCTCCCCCAGCCCACTTTGCAGGTGAAGAAACTGAGGTATAGATCTCACCATGGAGATGCAAGCAGGAAGGTGCCGTGGTCCTAGCTACCAAGGAGGCTGGGGCAGGAATATCTAACTTCCCCTTTCTCTCTGCCTTATAAAGAAGGGGCTTGGAGTGGGGGGTGGAGGCTACCTCCATGGTGCAGCAGTGATGCACTGCTCAAGGAAAACCACTGTTCAAATCCCCAGCCTGGTCAGTCTGAAACACACTGGGGATACACGTGAGTGCCTAAGAGCCAGTGGCTTAAGGAAAGGGATCTCGGCGTGACCAGACCCTGAAGAGGGTGCTGGCCTCTCTCTCCTTTTTCGTGCGCATGCACGCCCTATCGTGAATGAAGAAAAAGAAAGAGGTACAGAGAAATGAGGTAAACTGGTAAGGTCACAACTGACCTCTTTTCTCTGGCCACTCCCTCCTATGGGAACCTTCTCCACCTCCAGGCCTCATTGAGGTAGCCACGAACTTGAAAATCTTGGCTGGGAGCCTCTGTTCTGGTTCCAACCCAGTGTATGCCCCAAGGAAGGCTGGCTTGTGGGGGCTATAGCGGCCAGGACAGGAACCTCCCTCCTTAAGTTCTGGAGAGGGTTTAAGTGGTTCATGGCCCTTTCCTCCCTCCTCTACTCCCTTCTGTGACTGAGTCCTGGTCAGGTAAGCCTTTAATTCTATTTCATCCCTGTACCCTCCCCTCCACCCATGTTCCCTTCTGGGCATTTTTTTTTTACTTGCATTCTGAGTCTTGTGTTGAAGTTTTCCTTTCCATGAGCTCTTTCTGTATTCTCTATTGCTTTGTTCTAATAGTATCCAGCTCTTTTGGGTACACAGTGTCTTCTCTCATCTCCCAAGCATCTTTAAAGTGTGAGTGGGTTTCTTCAGCTCCTGGGGCATCTCCATTTCTCTTTTCTCCTCCTCTGTGTGTGTGTGTGTGTGTATCTACATAGTATGCATGTATGCCTATGTATTTGTGCATGCATGTATCTGTGTCACCCTCTTGCTCACACTTGGGCTCCTCCCTCAGATGCATATTGAGCTCAAGGACCTGCTCAAGCTGGGGGATGATTCTGTATGGGAGAATACAGCCTCTGCCAAGGAGGCTGTTCTGGATGGGGAGAAGTTTCTGCAAGAGGAGCTCCTGGCTCTTCTTGCCTAAGCCATCCTCAGCAGTGGGATGAGGCGCTCTCCCTCACCAGGCACCTGAGCCCAATTTTTTTTTTTTTTTTCTGG